TATCTTTTCAGAAGTAGACCACCAGGTCCTTCTTCCTAGTCTGTCTTTGTCTGGAAGCTCAGCTGAAACTTGTCCACCCTGAGTGACCCTGGTATTTGAATACTGGTGGCATAGCTTCCAGCATCACAGCAATACGCAGGCCCCCACAGTACGACAGACTGACAGACGTGTAGGGAAAATGTGCTCATAGCTCACCATTTTACAAAGAGGAAAGGGACCTCTCTTGTTTGACCCCGCTTCCTTCTCTAGCTGCTATCTTAACTTTTTCTTCCTCTTCACAAACTTCTCTTAAAAAATTGTGTATACTCCTTGTCTTCCACTTCCTCCCCTCCCACATGTGCTTGACCCACTTCAGTCTCCCATTTCTGCCCTCTTTTTCTGTGGAAATAGCTGCCAGTGAACCCTGTTTCTCAATCCAGTGGACACTGTTCACTTCTCATTTTACTTGGCCTGTTGCTGTACTCAACGTAGTTGACGAGTCATTTTCCATTCTCCTTTTTATCTTCTCATTCTCTTTTTGTAGACCTGTCTTTCTCTCACCATTAAATACTGACATTCATCGGCCTGGTCCTTTTATCCTTTTTATGCTTTCTCCCTTGACCATGTAATTGAAGCTCATGACGTTAATTACCACCAATACACAAGTGACTCACACATATCTTTCTTCTCCAAGAATTTCTTATACAGGTGCCTAAAGGTGCCAGAACCTCAACATAGCCAACACTGACCTCAGAATCCCACAGCCATCTGGTCTTCTGGTCTCATCCGTCCAGGTCTTGATTGTTCGCTTCCCCCAGCCCTTTGGCTGATTCATCAGTAAGCCCTAGCGACACCACCTCCCACACATGCCCTCAATGGTCCCTGTCTCCCATCTCCACTGCCGCCATCTTAGTCCCAGTTAGCCTTCTCTCTTGCCTGCATGCCTGAGGCAGTTCCCTAATTGGTATCCCTATGTGCTCTCTGGAGTCCCTGTAGCTTTTTATCCCTGGTGCTGCTGAAATTATATCTTCAAAATACAACTCTGCTTGCACACTTATGCCTCTGCTTAATATTGTTTAGTGGCTTCTTGTTGCTTTGAGGTTGATGAGCACAGTCCTTAATACAGCCCTGTGTGGTCTGGTCCCTCTTCTTCTCCAGCCTTTTCTTGATTTCTATACCCAGCCACAGTGGCCCTCCAGTTGCTGGAATGTGCCACGGCCCTCGCACTGCAGAACCTCTGTAGGCGCTGTTCCCTCTGCTTAGAAGGTGCTTTCCTCCCCCTGCAGCCAGTTCTCTCCTACTTCTGTTTCAGATCCCGGCTCAGTCATCACTTCCTCAGTAAATCCTTTTATGTCCTCCCTGAACAGATTGGAACCCCCTACTCTATTATTTGTGTAGCATTAACTTCAGAAGAAAGGCCTAGCAATCTCCTTCTGGAAAACCTACCATTGAAACCCTGTGGAGCACAGTTCTGCTCTGACACACATGGGGTTGCCATGAGTTGGAGTCACCTTGATGGCAACTGGAACTGAGTAGAACTAATTGTACCTGTAGCATAAATTATAATTTTGTGTGTGATTCTTCTGCACTTGTCCCCTCAGACTCTATACGCTATGAAGACAGAAGCTGTGTGTGATGACGGTTGTGTCCTCCAGCCCCTGCTGTGGTGCTAGCATAGAGTAGGGGTCCATAGAGACTGGCTGGGAAGAGCACACAGGGTGGAGGGAACAGCATCTGCAAGGCATGGGGTGGGGAGGACCGGCAGCAGTTTTGCAGAAAACTGTAAGTTCTCTGTGGCTGAAGTGTGGGTTTTGCAGTGGAAGATGGTGGGAGATGTGGCTGGACAGGCAGGCTGCGCCCGGGCCGTGAGGGCCTGGTGTTCCAGTGTTTGTACTTAGTCTCTTCAGCTATGGGTGGCCCTGACATTCTCCTGTTCCCCAACCTGGGGAAGGAGGAAGAAGTGTGGGATTGAATCTGGGCCTTGAAAGATGATGGGACTCTGGTCACTTCGTTTGGTTCCCCCACTTATAAGATGTAACGATTTTTAACCATTGTCTTGCTGTTTTCTATCAGCTACGTCTGGGACCTTGGCTGGCATCATGGGAATGAGATTCTACCACTCTGGAAAATTTATGCCTGCAGGCTTAATCGCAGGTGTCAGGTACGTCACGTTCTTTTGCTGCTCTTTACCACGATGGGGTTTAGTTTATTGCCCCAGATACTTTTTACGTTCAAAAATTTACTTATCTCGGTATAGCTGATGCTGTGCATCACTGACATCATTTAATTTATACACAAGTTGGAAAGGCTGCCACACCAGTAGCCGATTTAGTGTGGAAATGAGGTAAGTATATTCATTCACCGCAGCTGTGGTCTTGGGCTCGCGTTTACTCTGTGGCCTATCCTGGGTCTCTGCAGCTGCAGAAGCTTCGTGCAAAGCCAGGACTGCAGCCCTTCGTCTGACTTTCAGTGTGGGTTGCATATTTCTTAGTCTGATAGGTATCCTTTGCTAATGGAAATTTTGTTAAAAGGGGATTTGATTGAATCCTGTTTTCTAATTAGCTTTAGCTATAAAACCCAAGCCAAATTGTTTTTTTAAAATTTAGCACATAAGTTTAATAAAGATATCCTGAAGGTAGGAGAATTTGAAAAATCCATTTTGGGGAAAGCTTACCGAGCTTTGATTGTAGTTACCACGCTGTCAGCTTGATGTTCTGTACACAAAGCAGAGGAGTGGTGTAGACCAAGGTCGAGACCTGGGTTCTAATCCTGCCTTGATCGTTCACTAGCTCTGTGACCTGGGGAGGCCCAGCTCTCTCTAGCCTTCAGTGTCTTCATCCCTCAAATTCCTGACGGTTGGACTGGGAGCTCCTGCTCAGGTGCACTAGTGAGACCTCAGAGCGAACTGCCCCCGGTCGTGGTGGTTCCTGGGTGCCCTGCGGAGGGAGGTTTCTTCTCAGCCTGGTACCCCCTCATCGTGCCGCTGTGAGGCACCTGCAGAACCTAGGCCCTTAAAAAAGCTGAGTGCCTCTTCATCTTCTACCTGACTCTGCATATGTGTTTCTTTTCAACAGTTTGCTGATGGTCGCCAAGCTTGGATTTACTGTTTTCACTAGACCCCATCAGTCGTAGTCCCATCCCAGCTGGAACTCACGAAGAATTAAAAATCTCCGAGCTGATTGTTCTTAATGTAAGAGACAGAAGCACAAGGCTTAAGTGCTTTCACATATTCTGACCTTTTTCTTAAAAAAAGCAGCACTGAGCTTTGCAGGAAAAAATCAGTCCTTCTCATTACAGCAACCCTCGAGTGGGTGGCATTTATGACTACACCCTCATACAACTTGATTCTTGTATATTGATGTAATCTCTTCTTTCTGTAATTAGAGGTGAGTTCTCAGTGGGCACAATGTTAGGTGTCAGCATTTGGGGTGCTGGACTTCCATGCCCTCCTCAGAGGAGCAGTGTGAAGGAAATCGCCTCGGAGACTTAAGCCGTCTTCTGCTCATCTTAGAACACAGACCTGATTTGAGATTATGTTGCATGAAATAGCAATGAAAATAAACTTTTACTATAAACAACATTTTCTGTGGTGTCTTCATTGCCAGGGCAGTCTAGACCGCGGAATGGGATGTGATAGCAGGAAGATAGAGGGACGTGAAAGTATTTTGTTTCATATTGTGTTCAGGAACGACCCGTTTTGAATAATGATCAGGGAAAGTTAGTTATTATTGGATTATATATTGCATTGAAGCTTGTTTTAAAAATAATCTGTAGTGGGGATTTCTTAAATTCAGACTGTGCAGCAAAAAAATAAAAAGTTTTATTTAACTAGTTCGTTTATCAACCTGAAACTAAAAGGCCTGCATGCACTTGAGTCGCCGGCTTTGGTCACTGCCGGGGATGCGGAACGATAGTGACTCAGGTAGCGTTGGGAATTGTTTACTGCAGCATTGGGAATTTACTCTCACTGCGGTACCTCTAGCTTTAGTTTTTCCCTCTTGGAAGAGGAAGGGATATTTGCTACTTATCTCCACCCTAACTGGGGTTGGTTGATTTTGGAGAATAATTCAGGCACGTATTAATCAATGTTAAATATTCACTTAAGCTCCGTGAAAGTGATCCTAGTTTTCTCTCCCTTTTTGTATGACATGGTTTGAGCACCTTCCCCTCCTTGTGACTCTCCAGATACGATGCAGCCTGACAGGACCGTTCTTAAAGCCTTGTGCCCAGAACTGTATGCATCTGGGGTCTGGCACAGGTAGAGTGTTCTGGACGACTTTTCTGTCAGCATCAAAGGAAGCTTTTTGGACAGCCCCATCGCAGCCATGACTCACTTCACTTTTGGTCTACTGAGACCCCAGGTCTTTTTCTCATACACTGCTGTTAATAATAACTACTAATAAATTGTGAAAGGGTTGGTGCTTGGTTGAGATCACACACTTGCAAATATTTCAGTGAAATAAATTATTCCCTAATTCTTGGCATAGTCAGTAGTTGCCTTCTATCATATAGTTGTGCCAAACTCACAGTTTAATAAAGACATCCATTTAGAAACGTAGTTCAGTGGTCCCTGTAGTGTAGTTTCATATCTGGTAATCAAATTACCATCTTTTCAAACGTTAAAATCAAGTAGGCAGAACATTTGATTATCTCTGCTTTTTTTTAAATTGGTTCTAATGTGTTTGGGAGGAAAGAAACAACTGGTTGTAGTTAGAGGTACAACGGTGAGAACACCCACAGGTGGCCTGGGTAATGTCTTGAGCAGTGACGACCTGTCTGTGTATTATGTTGAGAGGGCTAGCCTTACTCTTTATATTTGTTTCCTCAAACACCGATGCTATGTGAGGGCCAGGTAGAGGTAAATATCAGTAGTAGATGGCTAGGTGGCTGTTAAATAAGGGGAGGTCTTGTGTAAAGTATGATCGGTTATGACATGTTGCTCCCTGAACATTGAACCATGTGAATTATAAGACAAGATGCACAAATCCAGACTGTTCTGTCTAAATAGGAAAGCAGTGCTCATTCTGTATTAATTCGTTAGAAACATACTTTGGTTACGAGCTAGCTCTTGGGTGAGCATGGAAATAGCTACTTAAAATATGGTTAAATGTGAGGACTAAATCCATCAGTATTTTCTGTCTTCTTCCAGACCCAGGTACACACACACTGCTACTTAGCTGTTGACAAACAATTAAGGGCACTTGTGGTGGTATGGGCCATCCAGACAGATCGTAGACCATCTGTTTTGGTCATCTAGTGCCGCTATAACAAATACAAGTGAATGGCTTTAACAAAAATTTGTTTTCTCACAGTTTAAGAGGCTGGAAGTCCGAATTCAGGTCGCCAGCTCCAGGGGAGGGCTTACTCTCTGTCTGCTCTAGGGGAAGGTCTTTGTCATCAATCTTCCCCTGGTCTAGAAACTCCTCAGCGCAGGGACTCTGGGTCCAAAGGGCGTGCTCTGCTTCTGGCTCTTCTTGCTTGCTGGTAATGAGGTCCCTCTCTGCTCAGTTTTCTCTTATAGATCTCAAAAGAGATTGATTCAAGATACAACCTAATCCTGTAGACTGTGTCCTGCCTCATTAACATAACAGACAGCTCACTCCCAAATAGGATCATAACCACAGGCATAGAGACTAGGATTTACAACACATAGGATAATCACATCAGATCAGAAAATGGAAGACAACCACAAAATACTGGGAATCACAGCCTAGCCATACGGACACGTACTTTTCTGGGGACATAGTTCAATCCATGACATCATCCAAAGCTAGCATCCTCCCAGGCTTCCATAGATAGGATTTTGAATCCAGATGGTAGCCTTTGTTTTTCATCTGTCCTAGGGGAAGGGCCCAAGCATCAGACCCTTGATAACAAGGTTCTCTGATAGTGCGAGTTAGTATTAGGTCCAAAGGAGATCCCTGGGTGCCTATTTGGTATACACACTGTTCTAGACTTTGCTTTTCTCTGTTAACGATACCGTTTTCTGTATCTGCACAGAGATGAACTCAATTCTATTTAATGGCTTTTTAATTGAATGGATATTACATGATGAAACTTACCATTTCTCTTCTGGTAGAAATTTTGTTTAAAGCCTTTTGCTGTTACAAAGAACGCCGCACCAAGGAACATCAGCTAAATCCCAGTACACACATGCAAATGAATCTACAGGTTACATTCCTAAAAACTGAGTCAAAGCCTATCAGCATCTTTAATTTTGCTTGCCCCCAGAAGAGGCTGCACCCATTTACAGTCCCACCAGTGGTGGCTGAGAGTTTGTTGCCCTCATCCTTGCTAACACTGTATGTTATCAGGTTTTTTTATCTTTGACGAACTCAACCAGCCTGCAAATTTTTTCAGTAAAGGGTCAGATGGTAACTATTTTAGGCTTTCTGGGCCATACTGTCTTGACTGCCCTTGTACAGCAAAAGCAACCATAGACAATACACAGCAAATGCGCAGTGCTGTGTTCTGACACAACTCTTCATGGGCCCTGAAATTTGAAGTTCATAGGATTTTCACCTGTCATGGAATAGTAACCTTATTTTGATTTTGCTGTAATTACTTAAAAATATAAAAACCATTTTTAGCTTGCTGGCTGTACAAAGACAGGCAGTGGGCCAGATTTGGCCCACTGTCCATAGTTTGCCACCCCTAATCTAATTGGAGTCCTGGTGGTGCAGTGGTTAAGAGCTACAGCTGCTAAACAAAATGTTGGCAGTTGGAATCCACCAGCCACTGCTTGGAAACCCTATGGAGCGGTTCTGCTCTGTCCTATAGGGTTGCTATGAATCGACTTGACGGCAACGGGTTTTTTTAATCTACACCAAAAATATCACTTTGTGTTGAATTATTTAGGAGTTATGAAACATCTTTTAATATATTTATTGACTAGTTATATACATCTTTTTCTGTGAACCATCCTTTGCCCACATTTTTATTTTTTGTTTTTCTTATGGGTCTTTGGGACTCTAAGTAGTAAGAAAATTTGTTGTTAAATATATTGCAAATATTTTCTTCTGGTTTATTATTTGTCTTTTGATTTTGTTTATATTTTTGTTATGCAGAAATTAAATTCAAATTTTTTTATTGTTGTAGTTTAAATGAAGTTTACATTTCAAGTTAGTCTCCCATACAAAAATTTATGCATACTTTGTTATGTGACTAATTGCTGTCTGCATAATGTGACAGCACACTCCTCCTTTACACCCCTGATTCCCCATGTCCATTCAACCAGCTCCTAACCCTCTCTGCCTTCCCATCTCACCTCCGGGCAGAAGCTGCCCATTTAGTCTCTTGTATCTACTTGAGCTAAGAGGCACACTCCTCATGACTATCACTTTATGTCCCACAGACCAGTCCAATCCCTGTCTCCAAGAGTTGGCCTTGGAAATCGTTTTAGTTCTGGGCTGATAATCTACGGGCCATGCTTTCCAGGGTACCTTCAGTCTCAGTCAGACCATTAAGTCTGGTCTTCTTACTAGAATTTGAGTTCTGCA